AAAAAAAAAAAAAGAAGAACCCCCAAACAAACTCCAGCATATATGTGGTCAACTAATTCTCAGTGGGAGAGGATCATCTCTTCAATAAAAAAATAGGAGAGAAACTGGATCTCCACATGCAGAAGAAGGACGTTTGGATGCATGTCTCACATGATTCACAAAAAATATCAATTTCAAATGAATTTAAGAACAAATGTAAGACCCAAAACTATATGAGCCATAAAAGAAAAGCTATCATAACATGGTTTTGGAAATAGTTTCCTGGATATGACACCAAAGTCACATGCAGCTATAGCAAAACAAACAGGAGGGAGTAAGTGTATCAAACTAAAATGCTTCTGTGCAGAAAAGATAATTATCAACAGAGTGAAAGGACAACCTATAAAACTTTTGCAAATCACATATCGGGTAAGGAAATAACATCCTAAATATGTAAAGAACTCCTATAGCTCAATAGCAAAAAACAAACCATCTGATGCAAATGGAACCTTAATCTATACATGGGCAAATTGTGCCTTTTTAATACCATAGATCATTCATTTACTATGTGCAGAGCTACGGGAAAAGGAAGGGCAACTGGCGGGATCTCACCTGATGTGCACAAGGTAAGGGTGCTCAGCGTGCCCTCCCCCAAGGCAAGGGCTCAACTACACCTCGAACTTGACCTTAGAATTGAAAACAACCTAAACATTTGTACTCTCATATTAATTTGAAATAAAGAGAAAAAGAACTATCTATTCATATATCCATTTTTCATCTGTGTATTTGTCACATGTGTGTACCTTTATATGTTTTCTATATAAATGTTTAAGCCACATGGATGTTTTCCCCATTGGGTAGTCAATGATGAGAAAAGGAGGGGTATCTTCTCCTGCCTCTGTGGAATTGTGCTATCATTTGGGTGAGGCCCAATTCCATATAATATCCATTAAGGATTCTACCTAAAAGACTCACTTGTCCAACTTATAATTTAACTCTAAAACCACACATTTTTCATTATTGTCAGCAGATATTAATGATGTTTTATGGTAAGTATAAAAAACCACAACTATAATTGACGATTTATAATGACAAATATATGGGATTTGTGTCATTGGAGTTAAACCCACTGCACCATTAAAACCATAAAGCTTTCTTCCTCTTTTAATATGAATGTTTAAAAGTCTGTGTTCTTAAGCAATGTACTTAAAGCTTTCTATTTGGTATTTTGTCCTAATTCAAGAACTTGTATGATGATTCTCTATATAACAAATTGATAAAGAACAAACTCCTTTAGAAGTACAACTCACTGCTTATTCAAAACCACAGTTTGTGGGGGAGATTCAAGGGGGAGACTTGAAGGGAAGGCAAAGAAACCTACAAGCCTGAAAACCCCAAAGGCCCCATCAGTACATGTTGGAAGGGGCAGGACAAAATTTATAGATAAATGAGGGACAGGCATATAAAAGCGCACCTGTTTCTCAATCCAACCTCCATTATGGACATAAATATTCTAAGAAGAATATGAGAATCAATTTCTGCAGCCCAGCAATAAAAAGTTAATGAAATAAATCCCTCTGTCTTTTCTCCATCAGGATTGACATCTTTAAGTATGTGATCTACGGCATCGCAGCTGCGTTCTTTGTGTATGGTATTTTGCTGATGGTGGAAGGCTTCTTCACAACTGGCGCCATCAAAGATCTCTATGGGGACTTCAAAATCACCACGTGCGGGAGATGTGTGAGCACCTGGGTATGTCATTCCTCTCCCTTCACTGTGTGATGTGGGTTCATGTCAGTAGCATGTGGGTATTTGCTGTCTCCTCCCAGGAACTAAAGTATTGTTTTAAAACACAGTTAGCATTTCTTCTAGAAGATTGCCATCACAACTTGGTGATAAGATTATGTCTTGGGCGGCATCTGTGGCTCAGTGAGTAGGGCACTGGCCCCATATACTGAGGGTGGTGGGTTCAAACCTGGCCCCAGCCAAACTGCAACAAAAAAATAACTGAGTGTTGTGGCGGGTGCCTATAGTCCCAGCTACTTGGGAGGCTGAGGCAAGAGAATCGCCTAAACCCAGGACTTGGAGGTTGCTGTGAGCTGTGTGATGCCACAGCACTCTACTGAGGGTGAGAAACTGAGACTCTGTCTCTCTTAAAAAAAAAAAGGATTATGTCTTGTAAAAAATCAGTTTCAAATTCTCAAGTCTTATGCAGTCCAATTAGTTTTGAGGTGGCAACCCTTGTGACAATTAATAATTATTCTTTTTCCAAGGACTTTGGAATACCTATATGGGATAACAAAATCTATCTGCAACTTAAAGGAAGTACCTGTGTCTCTTTCTCCCCATGTAAACATGTATCTCTCTGCGTTTTACTGCACTTTTGTGGCAACTATATCATGCAATTTCTGTCTTCTATTGACTTAAGGTGGGCACTATTTCACATGCTTGTTGGCCATTCTTCTGCCTTCTTGGGAGAAGGTTCTGTTCTTTTTTTTCCTAGTAATTAACCATGGCTGCTTCTAAGTTTTGGAATTATGAATAAAGTTGCTTTTAAACATATCTCTGATCATAACTTATGCTTAGGTAGTTTGGGGCCGTCATAATGATCATGACAACGATGATGATAATGATTATATATATTCAAGTAATTTACATAGTAACTTAGTAATTCTCTCTGCATTCAGCTGTACACTGTATAATTTCCAGAGCCACTTGTGTTCAATATTGTCAATGCTTTTCCATTTCGCATTTGGAGTGATATATTCAAGAGTTCATTTACTTCCTTTTAACCTGGTATTTTCCTGCCTTAGTTGTTGTGGTTTTCAATCAGAAGCTATTTCATTCCCAGGGACACCGGGAAATTTTGGTTGTACAACTAGCATCTAGTGAGTAGTTTCAGGGATGTTGTCAAAAAATCCCACAATTTGCAGGATGGTCTCTATCACACATAATTGTTTGGTCTTAAATTTCAATGGTGTGGAATTCAAGAAACTCTGATTTACAAATACAGCTCACGTCTAGTGCTTTGCTCACGAACCGGTGCTCAGCTGTCATTTGGCCATTTCACTGGCGTTGGCTTATCATCCCAATTTCCTTTTTAAACGTTATTATAACAAAATACTGCAGGGGTACAAATGTTTCTGGTTTTGGTGACGTGGATTGCAGTTGTTATGCGTGAGTCTGGGTTATGAGTGTGGCCGTCACCCACATAGTATTCACTGTACCCGTTGGGTAGCTTTGCTCCCATCCTCTCCTACCCCTCCTTCTGCTTGATTTTACCTCCTCTGTGCACATGTGTGCTCATTGGTTAGTTCCAGTTTAATAGAGAGTACTTGTGGTGTGTGTTTTTCCATTCTTTAGATGCTTCACTTAGGAGAGTGGTCTCCAGTTCCACCCAGCATTTATATCATTTTAAACTAAAAATTCATATGAGGCTTTGCTGAAACTACGTATCTTATTCAGTTCTATCTAGGATACATGAACACCTTTAATCCACTTTACAAATAATGAAAGAGTTTCTGATATCAATTTTTAAAACTTTATTGTCAAAATCACAATTCTATTTTACTGCATTTCCATAACAATAGTGAAATTAACATACCTAAGAGAAGATAGATTTAAGGTTCACAAAAGTTATTAAAGTGTTGAAATACAAACTAAAGCATTATAGAGTAATATGATGTGAGAATTACCATATTTATAAACATGAATAGTAGCTTAAATATTTATAATATGAAAAGATTCTGCCAGTGTTGTTGCATACAAACTTTTTTACGGGGTCCTAACGCATTTGAAATTTTCCACAGTAAAATTTCCCATTTTGCAGAATCTTCTTTAAATGTATCCATGAATACCTTCTAAAGTAAAAAAAAAAAAAAAAAAAAAGCTATGATAAAAAGCTTAAGAGATATACATAATGAAACAGGCATTAGAATGCAGGGGGCTGGATCTCTCACCTGTTCTTCCTCCTGAGCGGACCCAGTCCCAACTCTTTTTGGAGGTGCTCCAAACTTTTTCCCTTTGTTCTTTCTAAATAAAATCTCTCTTTGTTACTCTGAAAAAAAATGCAGGGGATTGTATTTTCTGTTACACATCAGAACTTCTCCCAGGGTGATTTTCTGGCAAGTTCTTTCACTTAACCTGAACTATTCACTTAACATTGGCTAATCGTTCTCAACTTTCCATCCCATAGTTGCTGACAGGGTGTTATGGCAATGCTTTCTTTTTTCCTTAGCCCTAACAGCCTTCCCTATGGAGTCTGCAGATTCAACACAGAATTGCCGTTCCCAGTGCACTGTTTTCTCTCCATCTCCTTCTCTTTCGCAGTTTATCATGCTGACGTATCTCTTCATGTTGGCCTGGCTGGGAGTCACCGCCTTCACCTCACTGCCAGTTTACATGTACTTCAACCTCTGGACCATCTGCCGGAACACCACCTTGGTGGAGGGAGCAAATCTCTGCCTGGACCTTCGTCAGTTTGGTAGGTGGATTCTGACTGGACCTCCCACAGTCCATACAACATCCCATCCATCTTGCTTTACCTACATAAGTGCCCTTGAGTGTTGCAAATCATTTTGGAATTGTTGTTACTTCTGCCACAAAGATGAAAGGATCAAAGCATTCACTTTTAAGACTTCCTTTAAAAAATTTCTTTTCTTCATTTTCTGTTTTTTTTTCCTTTCTTTTTTGAGAAGAGGGTCTTCCTCTTGGTCTGGCTGGTCTGAACTCCTGAGCTCAAGGGATCCTCTTGCCTTGGCCTCCCAGAGCCCAGAGTGCTGAGATTACTGCCTTGAGCCACTGCACCCAGCCTCCTTAATGTTAAATAAGTAGGAATTCAGGGGTGAATGGATGCTGATCTCACCACATACACACCCTTACACTCACAGATTGCATTGCCTGGTATTGGTGGGTTATAACTGTGGTTTCCCTTGCCTGATTCCTATGTTCTTTCTAAACTCAGTGTGACGTCTGCATCTTCCTTTTCATTTTGCCGTGATAAACTGCACAGACCGTAACTCCTAGTAGGAAGATCACCTAAGGAAGGGAATACTTCATTGTCTTCTGAAATAGGAAAACCACCTTAGCACTTAATAATAATTGAAAAACAAGTATCCAGTGTACTCAATACCAATATGAAGCCAGTAGATGGTCTAATAAACACTCACTCAAGAGAAAAACTCAAGTCAACATGAATCAGAGAGAATAGGGGAGGAGGGATGAGAGGGGGGAAGGAAGGAGGAAGGTGGGTGAGCTCCCACCTAATGGGCACATGTGGCACATCTGCTGGGTGGGGGACACCTATCAACTGCAAACATTGTAACCTACTTGTTTGTACCCTCACATTAATGTGAAATTTAAAAAAAATTGAATAAAAAAAATGCTTAGTCAGCCAGAAGTTCTCTTTAGTTACTTATTTTCATTTTTATTTTTTGAGACACAGTCTCTGTCACCCTGAATAGTGGGCCATGGGGTCATCATATCTCACAGCAGACCCAAACTCCTGGGCTCAAGAGATCCTTCAGCCTTGGCCTCTCAGAAAGCTGGAATTATAGGCATAAGCCACCATGCCCAGCCTCTTTAGTTTTTTTACTGAGGGCTAAAAATCTCATGTAATAAAAATACTTATTCACATGCACATGGGCCTACCATGTACAGACCCTACCCTGAGTCACATCAAATGGTTTAATGCTCGCAACTCACTGTGGTGGCCAACACTGTCATCTTCTTTTATAAGACCCAGTGGGGTCAAGTGACTTGTCCATGCTTAGACAAGTAACTGACAGACCTGGGATTCAAACCCACTCAGGTCCACCATGTTCTTGCTCCTTAATCAACCACATTTAATTAATTTGGAAACTAGTCCTGAATGAGAAGTGTGGAAAACCAGAATCTAATCTCTCAGTTGACCTTTTTGAGATTCTATTTATCATCTGGAAGAACTAGGGAGCTACAGAATTTTAAAAATGCCAATTACATTTGCAAATGGATCTTATTTTCACTGAACAGATATTAAAAGCCAACAGATTAACATCTGGGGGAACCCTAAATGTTTTTCTCTGATGAGCTTTCTTCATACTTGAGAAAGCAGCAAACATTTCTCTAGGTGGGATGTGAGGCTTGTGTGTGTGTAGGTGAGTCGTCTGTGAGGAGATGACAGGGTACACTCTGGCTATTCTCTGGCTGACTATACCTGTGAGTTCCAAAAGGGCCCTGCCTACATCCTGGCAGGTGAAGTCCTCAGACCCTGTGGCCTGACCCAAAGGGAAAGCAGATGGTATGTTCTGTGGATGAAGTTCTTGGCAAGAGGGGAGATGGATGATTCTCCTTTCTGGGAGATTTTAAGTTAAGTTAAAAATTAAATTGTTTGTGAACATAGGGGGACAAAAACCTCAGCCACTGCCTTTGAAGGTCACTGCAGACCAGCTGCTTAGAAAACTATGGCTCAGGCAGCACTTGTGGCTCAGTGAGTAGGGTGCCGGCCCCATATACTGAGGGTGGAGGGTTCAAATCCAGACCTGGCCAAACTGCAACAAAAAATAGCCAGGAGTTGTAGCAGGCACCTGTAGTTCCAGCTACTAAGGACGCTGAGGCAAGAGAATCACCTTAGCCCAAGAGCTGGAGGTTGCTATAAGCTGTGACGCTATGGCACTCTACTGAGGGTGACAAAGTGAGAATTGTCTCTAAAAAAAGAAAACTATGGCTCTTGTGCTCCCACTTAATGGGCATGATGTAGGGGCTTATGGCACACCTCTTGGTGTTAGAACACAACTACAAAAGGGACTCTACCCAACAGATGCAAACATTGCAACCTAGTGTTGGTGCCCTCACATTAATCTGAAATGTAAAAAAAGAAAAGAAAAAGAGAAAAGCTCTTCCCCAATGTCTTCCTTTTTTTGTTTTTGGAAAGAAGGTGACCAGCTTCTCAGGATCATCAGGTAAAAATACAAGATGCTCTGTTAAATTTTGCATTTCAGGGAAACAGGTCATTTTTAGCCCTTTTTAGTACAAGTATGGTTTCAAATATTGCATGGCACATAGTTATACTAATCTTGTTATTTATCTGAAATGCAAATTTAACTGAATGACAGTGAGGCTATTTTTATTGTTAAATCTGTTAACCCCACTAAGAGCTGCAGTTTATCTCCTAGAAGAGTTACTGCTGGAATAGAGCTGGAGGCTCTTAATGTGATGGTCTGTATTTTCAAAAATGTATGATAGATGATTGTGCATCTGATTCGAAGTATTTCTACGGTATGGTAAATAGGTGAAGTGAATGGGTTATGACCAGGTCATTTGGTCTCACCAAACCAGATTTTAGACCGAAACTCTAGCAACCTATTTCCAATATTTTTCCCAAGTTTGAGCTCTAAAGGACAGGAAAGATAATCCTTCAGAAAAGATGAGCTAACCCTCTTTGAATATTTTCAACATTTTTTCTCTCAAGAAACTTTTGTTAATTCTCAGTGTGCTCATCTGGTTATAACACACAAATATACCTAAGTTTTAAAATATATTGAAATGTATCCCTTTAAGTACATATTATCCCCTGTGACATTAAACCCAGAATACGTCCTACAGTCATAGAAATTAATAATTGGACTTCATGGCTGGGTGAGGCAAATCATACCTGTAACCTCAGCACTCCAAGAGGCCAAGGTATGCAGATTGCTTGAGCTCAGGAGTTGAAGACCAGCCTGAGCAAAAGCAAGATCCTATCCCTACTGAAAATAGAAAACCTAGCCAAGCATAGTGGCGGGCACCTGTAGTCCCCACTCTCACTCGGGAGACTGAGGTGTGAGGATTTCTTGAGCCCAGGAGTTTGAGGTTGCTGTGAGCTATGCTGCTACAGCACTTTAACCAAGGTGATAGAGTGAGACTCTGTCTCAAAAAATAAAAAAAAAGTACACATCCTAACATATGTGAGGTTCCACGTCAAAGAGGAATTCAGGCTGCTGGGCAAGTGACTCTAAAATAGAGGGATAATTCTAAATGAGCCCAGTGTAATCCCAAAGGTCCTTAAAGTGGAAGAGAGAATGAGAAGAGATGAGGGGGATGACAGGAAAACTACAGAAAGAAGCAGTTTTGCGGGCTTTGAAGATGGAGAAAAGAGACCAAGAACTGATGCTCTTTCCCGAGGCTGCAGTGGGAACCCATCCGTGAGGGCCCTTGTTAGATTTCTGCCTTCTAGAACTGCAAGAGATTTGTTTCTTTAATTAAATTTGTGGTAATCTGGCATAGCAGCTATAGGAAACAAAAATAGTCTTGAAATCAAAGTCAAACTTGTTTATATTCATGATGTCACACATCTACTTTCTGTCTAAGCTAGCAAAGTGCGTCTCCCTGTCACTCCTTGGCAGGCTTAATCCTCCTTTGCAACCTAGACTGACACTCTCAGGGTCCCAGGGATAAGGACATGAACATCATTGGATGGCAGCTATTTTTCTTTTTTTTTTTTTTTTTTAAATTAATAGATATATTTTATTTCAGATTAATGTAAGGGTACAAATGCTTAGGCTACATTGTTTTCATTTCTAAGGTAAAGTTCAAGTTGTATTTGAGCCCTTCACCCAGAGGATGTGCTCAGCACCCCCACACTGGGCACATCAGGTGAGATCCCGCCCACCAGGGGGCGTGCTGAGCACCCTCACACTGTGCACATCAGGTGAGATCCCGCCCACCAGGGGGCGTGCTGAGCACCCGCACACTGGGCACATCAGGTGAGATCCCGCCCACCAGGGGGGTGCTGA